GGGCGGCTCCTGCCCAGGCCAGCCCTCTCATGCCTGTGCGTGTTCTTGCCATTACGACCCCCACTCCGCGGGAGCAGTGCAGGCCACAGAGGAGCCCGAGGACCTTGGTCCGAGCGGCGGGTAGACTGCAGTCAGTGAGGCAGGGCGAGGAAGGGGCCACGGGAGTGCCATGCTTACCTCGTGAACAGGGAGCGGGGTCCCACAAAGCTGGCCTGGGTGGCTTGAAAAACATGTCAGGTGGGACCAATTGGTGACCTGGAGATTAAGGCAGCGGGATCCACATGGCCGGCTGTGCGGTTCGAGTACCGGACCTGGGGAATGACACACTAAGCCTCCCGGGGAGGCTTCCTCCTCTCCTCTCGTCGCCCTGGGCTGGCCGGGTGGGCATGGTACTGGTGGCCCAGGTCGGCCGTGGCAGCCCCGCACTCACTGGCTGTGCCCCACAGCTGGCGGCAGGCCTGGTCTCCAGGCTGATGTCCGCGGCCTCCCCGCTTCTGCCTCTGGCCACATGCGCCGCTGTCCCTGCCCCCTTCCTGCCTCCCGTAAGAGCACGGCGTTGCTTTAGGGCCACCTCAGTGCAGGACAGTCTGTCTGGAGGCCCTCATCCCGCTAAGGTCACTCCGAGGTTCTGGGACGCACCTTTCAGGAGCCCCAGCCAACACTCCAGGGATGGTGGCCCTCGCCCGCAGTCAGGACAGCTCACCTGTCTGCTCAGATGTACTGTGGCCCCGTCAGCCCGAGTGTCACAGTGCCTGCTCCCAACTGGGAGGCACGGTGTGAGGGCATCGTGGTCGTCAGGGCGGCGGGGACAGCTGGGAGGCACTGCTGGCTCAGCCAGGCCCGGCACATGCTCCAGGCCATAGGAGGTCGTCCTCCGGGAGATGGCAGTGCTCTGACGGAGGGCCACGGTACCCGGTGTGGGCCGGGCGGGCAGCGCAGGGCAGAGCCTGGGGACCATGGAGGATGCCTCGAGGGGGGCACTCGCTTTGCTGCAAGATGAGGACGGTCACAGGTGTGTCTGCGATTGACCCGGAGAGGGGGCGGGGACCGTGAGCGAGGTGTGCTCCGCTGGCAGGGAGGAGGGAGGTCTGGGGCAGGTGGAGGGAGCCTCTGCAATCCCTTTTCTTTCTTTGCTTTTGCCATTAGAGAGGCAGAGAGGGAAGTGAGAACTCACCCTGCACCCCCGGCGGGGAGACGGCCCCGCTGCAATTGCTTGTCCTCCATCCTCCTCCCAGGGTTTGGGCATGCACGCACGCCTACAGTTCTCAGGCTGACGCCTGCAGCTGTGGGACCCAACGCCTTGACCGCCAGCCCCGCCAGCCGCTCCGTGTGTGAGCTTACCTCTGAGCCTGCCTCTGCCTGCGAGAGCCTTCCTGCCGGCTCAGGGTGGGATTCTGAGCCCCGAAGCTGCAGGGGGCCGGGCAGGGCAGAGGCAGAAAGGGACCGGCCGCAGCCCATGTTCTTCTGTGCCAAATGCCAGGCCTGGCTGGAAGTGGCTCTGCCACAGGTTGGCAGCGTGGATGGCTCCCTGCCCCACCGACAGGCAGCGTGGGCTGACTTCCCCCCAGCAGGCGACAGAGCCCTGGCCATAGCCTGGGCTCCAGCCCCCAGCTACAGACTGGGGTGTCACCACCCTTGGGTTCTGGGGAGAGCTGGGAGCCAGCCCCGCACTGATGCCTGCCACTGGGACTCCAGGGCAGGTGCAGGGCCCCGCCTGCTGGCTGGCTCTGGGACTGCGCCCTGTCAGAGGCAGCCCAGGGTCTGATACCCACCGGGGTGGGCTTAATAATTTTTCCTTTAAAAGTGATTATTGCTAAAGGGTGTGTGGGCTGCCTGGAGACAGACAGAGAGGGAAAGTGAGAACTCACTCCCTGGGGCATGGCCACGCAGCAGTCCCTTCTCCATTCTCCTCTTAGGATTTTGGGCACGCACAAACACACCTGCAGTGTCTCGAGCCTCTGGGTCTGGGACTCAAACCGCGTTTTATCATGTGGGAGTCCAGAGCCGTAACCACCATGCCACCTGCTGGCCCCTCCCCTGGCGGTTTTGACATTAATAGACACTGTGGACATTCCCACCAGGACCAAGCTCTACTACCCACCCCCAGCTGCCCCTCCCTCCTGGGGTCCTCAGGCCCAGGTGACACCCAGCAGTCTAGTGACACTGGCATGCTGGGTGGCAGTGCTGAGGTTCACTAGCCAGCACAGGCTCCCCTGGGTCTCGAGACCAGCAGCCTGTGACTCCCACATGGCAGTGCGTGGATTTCAGGCGGGTGACCCTGAGCCCTACACCCTGGGCAGGCGTCTTCCTCAGGGGTGGCCACCCTTCCTCCCTAGGGCACAGAACATGGCTCCTCCCCCGGCAGGAGCCCAGCTCATGCACATGGCCTCTCCCTAGGGTGGGCCCAGTCTGCACCTGGTCTCCGAGGGCGCAGGGGGGACTGTCTGCCGATCCTCTGGCTGTGGCCCAGAGCCGGGTCTTGGGAGACGACTGAGCCCCTTCCTGGGTACTCACCGAAACACGCCTGTGCCAGCCAGGAGCGCCCAGGCAGCCAGTCCCGTCTGCTGAGGACACGAGGTGCCAGCGCCAAGTGGCCCCCTCAACTCTGAACCAGTACACCTTTGCCTCTCCTGGGAGGGATTTACTGTCACCTATTAGACCTAAGCTCGACACTCCCAAAATGCTGCCTGGTTCCAATTTTTTTTGAGAGATTTTTGCTATGGGGCACGTGAGCTCACTGGACAGAGACAGAAAGTGAGAAATCACCCCCTGGGGGAAGGGCCACGTGTCAATCCCTCCTCCTCTAGGGATCTCGGGCACACACGTGCAATGCTCCTGGCCTGAGTTTTAGATTGCCGGGTCTAGGACTTGAACCGTAGCTGACTATGCGGGAGGTTATGCTGTCTGCTGGTCCTGAGATTGGACTTAAAAACAAAAAAACAAACAAACAAAAAAAAAAAACCAACCCAACTTTTGGGACCAGCAGTTGGCGTAATGGCTATGTCGCTGGACTCCCATGTAGTCGACTGCGGTTCAAGTCCTGGACCCGGTGGCTTAAAACTGACACTGGGCTCCTGTGCATGCCCAAGATCCCGAGAGGAGAATGGGGAAGGGATTGCGGCATGGCCATCTCCCTGGGGAGGGGGTGGGTCGATTTCTCACTTTCTGCCTCTCTGGCGAGTGCACGAGCCCTATAGCAAAAAGCTCTCCAAAAAAATAATTTTTTTAAAAAAAATAGCATTCAGGAGACTCAACGAGAGCCCAGGGAGCTGCGTGCCACTGAGGGTGCCACTTCAGCTTCGGCCCATCCTGGGGCAGCAGGGACAGTGGCCACTGGGGAGGCACTGCGTCCTCACCAGAGCCGGGACTGAACAGCCCTGCTGGCGGTGGAAGCGTGTGTCCGTGTGGTGGAAGGGTGCTGTTGCGTGTGATGGCCACTGCAGCTTTCACCAGGAGGGAGGTGACCCTGGGGAGGCATGGACGCTCATGTCTGGGCCAGTGGGGAAGCCATGTGTTTGTCCACTGACTTCAGGGCTGCCTGTCACCTGTCCTCACCCGGGGAGCAGTTTGGCAGGCACGCCCACCCTGGCCAGGCACCAGCCGCAACTCCCTTCAGCTCTGGTCCAGCCAGCCACAGCACAGGTGCAGGCAGGGCGCCTCCTGCCCTGCCCTGTCCCCACTGACCAGCTGTGCTGGGGGAGATTTCCCCCAGGGCTACATCTAGAGTGTCCGCCTGCCAGAGGACGTCTTTGAGCGCAGTGAAGTCAAGGCCTCACCCCTCCCACTGGGAGCTGGGCCTGGGTCAGATGTCCCGACAAAAGTGGGGACCGGTGACAGTGAGTCACAGACTGCACCGAATGACAAAAGTTACATTTAATTTACAATGTAATAAAGGTTACAGGTAAAAAGCTACACTAAGCATGAAAAGGCCTATCACACAAATGTACACATTGCAGCTCAGGCCCCGGCCCACCCGGCTCCTGCGGGCAGGCCCGGCCCTCCTAGAGCCCTGGGGACCGGGAGCTCTCCTGCGAGGGGGACAGATTCCAAACTGACCTGTTACCTGCAAGACCCGCTCGTGCCCTTTCCACCTGGAACTGCCCTAACACGGGACAGGAGAGTGCCTGGAGAGTGAGGACGGCACTCAGGAGCCGGGCGTGCACACAGCGCCTACCGCGCCGGTACAGGCTGAGCGAGGTCAGTTCTCCTCCCACAGCAAAGACGAAAGAAACTCCAACTACTGGACCTCAGAACCAACCCGAGAAAACATCACTGGGTTTGAACCTTGGCTTAACTGAAAAATTTGCAATCTTCTCTTTGACCAACCTGGGATCTGTGGCATCTCTGCTAGCTGGGACTTGCAGGGGCAGGACACATGGGCTAGGCTGCTGGAGCCCACAGCTCTGGCCACACCTGGGGCTGCAGTCTACCCCAGGGTGCAAGAGAACGTAAGCACAGTGGAAGGCCCAGGCCCAGAGGACACGAGGCCTTTCCCTGCACGAGTGCTGAGACAGGCTCCCCAGGAGTCTGCGCAGGACCAGAGCTCTCCAAGGCCGCATGGCACCCAAGGCCAGCCCCAGCCCTGCTCATCAGCCCCTCACCCTCCCGCCCGCCCAGCCCACCCTCCCCAGGACCGAGCCGTCAGATCAGGAGGTAGGGGGTGGGCATGGCACCCGAGGCCAGCCCCAGTCCTGTTCATCAGCCCCTCACCCTCTGGCCTGCCGGGCCCACCCTCCCCAGGACCGAGCCGTCAGATCAGGAGGGAGGGGGTGGGCTTCTTGCCAGGCCACGCCTCTTTTGCGTATTTCTTCTTCTTGGGCTCGTTCACGGCTTCAGGGTTGTAGACCACAGGACTAGGTGTGGGGTTCACATTCACTGCTGATGGGGCGACGGGGGTCAAGTCCACATCCGGGGCGAGGTTCGGGTAGGGCATGGGCAGGCCACCGATGAGAGCGGTCCCATGGGTTCCGTGTGGCTGGGAGCCAGCCTCGCTGTGCGTGGGGGGCAGGCCCCCGTAGAGGCCTCCACTGAAGGCGAAGTTCTGCATACGCCTGCTCCCAGACTCCTCCAGGCCCAAGGAGGCAGCGCCCTCCACCCGCTTCTTCTGGGGTTGCAGTGAGGACAGCGCAGAGAGGAGAGAAGGGAGAGGGAGACAGAGTGTCAGTCAGCCTTGGAAAAACAGCGTCCGGGGGCTACGGTGTGGTAGCTAGGGCAGCAGGGTCCCATGCAATTCTGGAACTGGATACAGTTTGAGTCCTGGACCCAGGGTTTGAAAAACACGCGGGACCCGTGCATGTACGACAACCCTGAAGGGAGGGGCGGCGGCGGACTGGAGAGACGGAGGAGGGCTGTGGCATCCAGCCCTCTGGGCTCTTTCTCCACCCCCACCCCCCGCCCGGCTGGCTCTGTTCCCTGGACCACCTATTTCCTGCTCCTGAAATCTGAGGGGTTGGTGATCGTCTGCCAAGACGGCCCCCGGACGGCTCCCTTTAAAGCTCTCCGCTGCTCAGACAGACAGTGAGGCTGGGAGCAGGGAGGCACGCCCCACAGGGACTGCTCACCCCCTCTGGTCCCTGGCAGCACAGGGCCTGTGCCAGGGGCCGCCCCCACCTTGTGTTTCCATGTCAACAGTCCCTTCCTGCAACGGACCTGACAGGGTGTGGTAGAGACATTCAGTGTGTCCTTGGGGGGAAGAGAATCGGCGTGCACACAGGGTGCCAAGTGTGGGCGCTGACAGCAGCAGACTCGCCTGGGGCGAGGGAGAGGGTGACCGGCACCTACACGGGTCCAAACCCAACCCGTACACCGCAGTGCGGGCGTGTGGCGATGGTAAAGGCGGAGGTCCCTGCCTGCACTGCAGTGACAACGGGACATTCTGAAGGAAGGACGACAGAGCAGCAGGCGAGTGCCGTGGGCCGGCTGTAAGGGCCTGGGGCGCCCTCGCCCTCCCGGGTTACGCGGGCCAAGGAGCAGCTCGGTCCAGCACGTCCTTTCACCTCCTCTCAACTGTCAGAGGACTCGTGTGCTCCTCAGAGGGAGAGAGCACGCCCGACGGGGCACGGCAAGTCGCCGTCCTGCTCCTGGAGCCACCAGGCTCAGCTCCCTACACCTCCAGGCACACTGACCAGCCTCCTGTGGGCAGCGGGCCAGCAGAGGGCCGCCCGCCCCCTGGACAGGTCTAGTGGCCGGGCACTCCTGCCACGCGAACTGCAACCAGCGTGGCTCAGCAGCCTGTGCTCTGGGCCGACAGCCCATGGCGGTGCCAACCCAGATAGAGGACAGCCCAAATGGGGCTTGCTCTGCCCCTCCGGGAAGGCACGTATGCAGGTCCCCCACAGCTTCGCTATGGGACTCCGGGGTTCCCTAGACACAGGCAGGAAGACGCACCCAGGAAATGTGCTCTGCACGAGCACCCTCCCAGACCAGGCCCCACCAGGCTGTTTGGACCCAAACCCCGGCCCCGAGCTACCTACCTTGACGGGCACCACCGCCGTCTGCACCATGTTCCGGAATCGGCCGACTGAGGGGTCCACATCCTCTGCAAAACAAGGTGGGGACAGGGCTGGGTCGCTGCCCTGCGGAATAGCCCGCTGCACGGGAGCAGCTCCCACTCACAAAGCAGGCCACAGCCACCACAGGGGGCCCACTGTGGCACCGAGCCTCCCAGGGCGACCCAGGGTGGGGTGCTGTGGGCATGCCAGGCAGATAAGAACACGAAGGTAGATCCAGCAGCATTGTCAGGCCCGGTCACCGCTGGGGCGTGAGGAGCCAGGCCTTGGGTCCCTGTAGCCAGGAACAGCCTGGCCTATGCCTGGACCACTGAGACATGCCACCTCAGGGGGCGCTTTGTCAGCCCTCCACAGCCTTCCTGAGGGGAGGGGGGAGCAAGGGACGTGACCCATTCTGCACCACCATGGCAGGCAGGAGTCACAGCCACCTGCCCCACGCCTGCTCCGACCTCGGGCCCAGCACTCAGACCCAGGGCAGGAGCTCAGCCTGCAGATGTGGAGGCTCTCAGGAGGGCTGGGTTGCGGCCCCTCCCATCGCTCCTCCCATGCCCCTGCCCAGAGCTTGGCCTTGCCCACCTGCGGGGAAACGGGCCTTGCCTTCAGCCTCCCCCACGCTTCCTTTTCTGGGCCCCAGGCAGGGCTTCAGGAGGCGCAGTGCTCCAGAGCACACGGAGGCCTCGGGGGCCCTCGGCTCTCACAGAGGCAGCACGGCTTATTTTAAACGCAGTGGGCTGCCTGCTGCTCAACGAGGCCTGTGGCATGGGACGTGCTACTGGGGGAGGCTCGGGCAGGCCTGGCCACATGGTAAGGTTCTAGTTTGATGATGGGCTGGGTGTGGCAGCCTGTCCTGTGGTCCCAGCTGGGAGGACCATGGCCAGACCTGCCTTGGAAAATAAAATGGAAAAAAAAATAAGACTCAGGAGAATGTCCTTAGAAAAAAGTGCTCGTAGAAGCCCTACTGAACCCGGGTAGCCCCAGTTTACACAGTCACCTCCACGGCACAGCCCCCAGCACTGCTTCATGGCCACCTGCCCCAGGGCTCTGCCCAGGGCTGGTGACGGGCTTCTGCAAGGAAGGGGGAGGCGGAGATGGAGGCTCACTGGGGACACAGGGCTCTGGCAGGCGCCAGGCACGTGCGCGGCCGCCCTTTCTGCAAGGACAGCTGGGTGGGCATGCGAGGGCCGCAGCGGGAGGCCGCCCAGGCACAGGGCCCTCGCCCTCTCCCCCTCCTCTGGAGCCACCTCCGTCTTCGTGTGGGGGACATGCGCTCCGGGCCCGCACTCCAGCAGACCTGCCAGCTCACCCATGCCAACTCCACCTCCGGGCAGCCAGCAGCAGCCCAGGGCCTCCTGGGCCTCAAGGACCAATCAGAAGTCTTTTAAATGCATCGCCTCATTTTCCCTGTTCCCCGCCAACCCTGGAGGTCGCAGTCTGCTACGTCAGGTGGCCAAGGCCACCCAGCAGAGCCAGGCCTCCAACCTCAGAGCTCCAGCTCTTCCCACTGTGCTCAACTGCCACTAACGGAGCTCTAGGCAGGGAGGGGCTGAGGCCTGTACCCCAAGGAGAGAAACAGCCTCCTCAAAGGGGTGCAGGAGGCCCTCTGGCACTCTGCTTGCTGGAGAGACAAGACAAGACAAAAAGCGAGAAACCGCCCTGGGGGTGGCCATGCCACAATCCCTTCTCCTCTTGGAATTCTTCAGTCACAAGATCCAGGACTCGACTATGTGGGAGCCCAACAGTGGAGCCACTTACGCCCTCTGCTGGTCCCAATAATCAGTGTTTTGAACCTAAATGGAGGACTTGAAAGTTACTCACAGCTTTCCAATTTGAGAAATAAAAGCTATTTATTAGGCTGTGTTCCTTGTTTCCATCCATTCACTGTATCTGTTTCCAAAAGGTTTTTGTTTTAAATGTCAATTCTAGGGACCAGCAGTTAGCGTAATGGCTATGTCGCTGGACTCCCACGTAGTCAACTGCGGTTCGTATCCCGGACCCGGTGGCTTAAAACTCATGCCGGGCGCGTGTGCGTGCGTGCCCAAGATCCCGAGAGAATGGAGGAGAAGGGATTGCGGTGTGGCCATCCCCCTGGGGGGGGATTTCTCGCTTTCTGTCTCTCTGTCTCTCTGTCTGTGGATGAGAGTCTGGGTTTGAAAGTGATAACCATCACCTAGAGGAAAGCCTGACACACAGAAGTGGCTTAATGGATGCACTTCTACTGACTGAATAAATGCCGCCCCAGTAAATGTGACCCACGCGGAAGTGTGGTGGGAGCCCTACTCAGCTGAAACCCAAGTGCCTTAAGAAAATGTTCAGTGGTTTTATTAGAACCATCTCTTGGAAATGGGAGGATGCAACGTAGGACCTTTTTTCAAGCCAAAGGAAGAAGTTGGTAAGAGTAGAGAAGACAAGAAACACTCAAAATAACTATGTGACACTGTTTAAGAAAAGCAAAAAAAAAAAAAAAAAAAAAAAGCCAACACCGTCCCATTTAATGCCGACTAGCTCACACAACTGTGTGAGCCTCGCGTTCCCGGGCTCTGCCTCCTCTGCTGGAGGACTGGAGATGGAACACGAGCCCAGGGATGGACAGCAGACCCAGGCCTTCCCAGACACTGGAGTCTCCACATGAGCTATCGGATGGTGACTTGTGGAGGTTCTCCCTCCCTGCACCCCCACTCCTCCACGGAACCTCGCCAAGGTGACCCTGTTCAACTTTGTGTCCCTCCAAAGGATGGCAAGTCGAACACTCGATCCGCACCATGACATGGACAGGTAGGCCCTCTCTAGGGTGGCCCTCGCCAGTGGAGGATGGTCTGGACGGGCAGCTCTAGAGCAGAGGGCTACGAAGTGAGCCCAGCAGCCCCCACGGCCTCCTCCCACACACTGGCCCGCCTTCTGCCACGTTTGTCCCCACAGAAGGTGGCTTCCCGGCCCCCAGGACCGGGAGCCCGAGGAACTCCATTTCCTGTTGTGTCACCAGTCTCCGGTGCCCAGTGCTAGCAACAATCAGGGAGTAAGACGACGAACACCGCCACTCCTGTGGAGGTCCCCGAGGGCCACGGCCTCGGCCTGCACTCACTGTATGGCCCCTCGGCCCTTTCTGTGACGGGTAACACGCAACCATGTGGGGACGCCGTGACGAACCGTGTAAACTCCTCCCTAAAACACTGCAGTGCCCGCTGCGGACACGGCTCCTCGGGGGACCAGGACGCCTCACCTGGGTTGATGATCTCGTCGTCCTCGCTGAATGTCACCCGAGAGCTCTTCCTCTTCCTTTTCGGCCTCTGGATGTCCAGGTTCCCCTCCTCGATGGTGAGGGTAGATATCCGCTTGTTGTGGGCCGTGTTGAACTCCGTGAGGTTCTGGCCAGGGTTCACAAAGAATGGGTCAGGACTAGGGCAGGAGGGCACCAAGACACCGTAGCCTCCCAGGCGGCCCAGATGTGCTGCACCCGACCGGGCGTACGCTGCCAAAGTGGCATAGGGCCCCGAGCGGAGCACAGGCCACCTGTGAAGCACCCAGGTCTCCCCACTTGTTATCCCCTCCCTTTATGAGAGACAGAGAGATGGGGGCGGGAGGGAGACGAGCCACCGCTGACGGGGTCCTGTGGGCAGTGACGCCCCTGCCCTGGCCCATGAACTGAACCTGTGCCTTCCAGGCAGCAGCAGTACATGTGCAGCCGGGCCGGGCCGTTCCCACTTTTAAGGAAAGGCTACCAGGTCTTCACGCTGAGTAAAGGCACTGCCCAGGAAGGAGGAGGGGCGGCTCACAGCTGTCCCAGAACGCTCGTCTGGGCGCCCATGCTCCCCCAGCCGTGTCTGCCTCACGCTCAGCCTTCCCTCCACCTGCCTCGGCGACCTGGGCATAGCTGCCTGCCCTTCCCTGACCCCTGGGCTCACTTCGACCTGCGCTGCAGCCCGAGCTGCCACCAATGCGAGAGTGAAGGCCCAGGGAGCAATGTCACCAAGCAGAAGGAAAGTGGGTGGGAGCCGGGCAGGGGACTGCCCGCAGGGTGCCTCGCCATAAGCTCATGCCTTCAGAGCACGCAACTTCTGAGCTGTAAGATCTGCACTGCGCTTTTCCTCCTGGTGCACAGGATGGCAGACACACCTAGGGGTCAGGACATGCCTGTATCCGGTCCACCTGGACAGGACAGCCACAGCCTACAGCAACAGGTCTACAAAAGGGCCGCAGCCACCTGACGAACGACCGGTAAGCCCCCGCATGGGGGCTGTCAGTGGGCTTAAGTGGGGGTCTGCACAGGTCAAGACCTTCCGCATAGCCAGGCCTGTGAGAATAGATGTGATCGGGCTCGGCCGAGTCTCTAGCTGTCCAGACAGACACAGCGGAGCCACACCCATGAGCAACGGCGCCAGCCACATGGCCGGCACTGCCACTGCAGCCCTGGGACCCGCCGGGGCCAGCCAAGGTGGGGGCCCTGCCTGCACGGTTGGCGATGACTGCACAGGACACGGCTCTGTGCTAACAGGAGGGCAACGGAACCACTACTCTCGGCTTCTGCCATGACGAGGTCAAGGGGTCTGGCGCAGGGGGCCCGGTCTCATCAGCCCTGGTCGCCCAACATGAGCCCGCACACGCGGCTCCCTGTGGGTCAGCATGGCCTCCGAGGCCAGGGCCGTCACTGGGCTGACGGAACCTCAGCTCCGAGTCCTCGGCTTGCCGACGTTGGTCAGCTAGCCCTGGAGGGCGGTCCCCACAGACAGACAGGGACAGGGACAGGCACAGAATTACATCCAGCTCGGTCTCCTCCTCAGGAAGGCCCAGCAGGCCCTTGAGCTCGTCGTCCTCTCCACCCATCTTCTCATCTCCTTTCACGGCGGACGGCAAAGTCTGAGGCTTCTCGCGCAGCGTGTATGCCCGTGTGGATGCGCCGAACGAGACTGTCGAGTCGATGGGGATCTGCTGAGGCTTATGAGCTTCCAGCCGGATGTGACCCAAGAAAGTGCCATGAGCTGGGAAGAACAAATCGGAAGGACCAGCAGTTGTGGCCATGGCTAAGTCGCTGGATTCCCATGTAGCTGACCGCGGTTCGAGTCCTGGACCTGGTGGCTTAAACTCATGCCAGGTATGTGTATGTGCGTGCCCAAGATCCCGAGAGGAGAATGGAGGAGAAGGGATTGCAGTGTGGCCATGCCCCCTGGGGAGTGATTTCTCGCTTTCTGTCTCTCTCTCTCCAGCGAGCACACGTGCCCTATAGAGAAAAGAAGAACAGATGGGAAATGAAAGAACGGGACCACAGACTGCTCCATCTCAGGAGGAAGCGCTTCTTCCACTCTCTTATTGGGGACCTTCTCCAGCATACCAGCTCTGATATTTTATTTTAACTTCTAAAAATTGCCGGCTTTGGGACCAGCAGTCAGCATAATGGCTATGTCGCTGGACTCCCCCGTAGTCGACCCTGTCCCAGACCTGGTGGCTTAAACTCATGCCAGGTATGTGTATGTGCGTGCCCAAGATCCCGAGAGGAGAATGGAGAAGGGATTGCAGCGTGGCCATTACCCCGGGGGGTGATTTCTCACTTTCTGTCTCTCTGTCTGTCTTTCTGGTGAGCTCACGTGTTCTATAGCGAAAAACTTCTCCAAAAAAAAAATGCCAGCTTTGCTATAGGGCACATGCACTTACCAGAGAGCGAGGGCGAGGGCGAGGGGGCGGGGAGAGAAAACCCCCAAAGGGGATGACTACGCCACAGTCCCTTCCTTCTCCTCTGTTCTGCTCTTGGGATTTGGGGCAAACATGCCTGGAGTTTTTCCGGCTGAAGGGTTCAGGATTTGAATCGCAGTTAGCCACGTGGGATCTGGTTGCCTTAACGTCTGTTACCCACTGGCCTGAAAACACAGGTTTTTATTTTTTGTTATTATTATAGGTTTTTGCCACAAGGTAGGTGCACTTGTGAAGATCTATCCATCCATCCAGTGACAGGGCAAGTGAGAAATCACCTTCTGGGGGAATGGCTACCGCAATCCCTTCTCCATTCTCCTCTCGGGATCTTGGGCACGCACGTATATGTACCCGGTGTGATTTTCAAGCCACTGGGTCCAGGACCTGAACTGTGACTGACCATGTGGAATCTAGCAATGTAACCACTATGCCATCTGCTGGCCCCTTTATTATTTTTTAAAAAAAATTTTTGCCATTGGGACCAGCAGTTAGAGTAATGGCTATGTCGCTGGACTCCCATGTAGTCAACCGCGGTTCGAGTCCCAGACCCAGTGGCTTAAACTCATGCCGGGTGTGTGTGCGTGCCCAAGATCCCGAGAGGAGAATGGAGGAGAAGGGATTGTGGCATGGCCATCCCCCCGGGGGGTGATTTCTCGCTTTCGGTCTCTCTGTCTCTGTCTTTCTGGCGAGCGCATGCGCCCTATAGCAAAAACCTCTCCAAAAAAAAAAAAAAATTGCCACTGAAACCAGCAGGTGGCGTACTGGTTACGTTACTGGGCTGCCACATAGTTAAACATGGTCTGAGTCTCGGACCTAGCAGCTTAAAACTCACGCTGGGTAGGTACGTGTGCATGGCCCAAATACTCAGAGGAGAACAGAGCAGAGATCGCAGCGTGGTCACCCTCCTCAGGTGATTTCTGGCTCTGTCTCTCCAGCGAGCACGTGTTCCCTATAGCAAAAATCTCTTAAAAAAAAAAAAAAAAAAAAGGTTTTTGCCATAGGGCATGCGCATTTGCCAAAGAGGAGTCAGAGAAATTGAGAAATCACCCCAGCCACGTCACAATTCCTTCTCTTCTCGCCTCTCGGAATTTTGGGTATAGACACATGTACATACATGTGTGTACCCGACATGATTTTCAAGTGGCAGGGTCTAGGCCTCGCACCGTGGAGTCAGCCAGGTGGGATTCAGTGCCGTAACCACTCCACCGGAGTTCTGCCGGGCGCAGAGCAGTGGGGGCCGCTCTCAGCACGCCTGCGCTGACCGAGGGCCGGACCTGTCAACACGTGTGTGCCATCCACCCCCTGAGGCACCCAGTCAGATGCGTGGGCGCCCTGCAGTGGGTTACCCAGACATCCACCCAGCTAAGAAACCAGGCTAGCACTTCACAAAGTGAAGGGGAAACAACACTCAACGCAGAGACGGACAGAGAGAAATCACCCCCTGCCAAGGGGATAGCCACGCCCCAAGCCCTTCTCTTGGGATTTTGGGCATGCATGTACACGTGCCCAGAGGGGCAGAGACACCAGTCCAGGACTTGAGCACGGCTGGCCATGGGGGAATCCAGCGCCTAACCACCAGGCCCCTGCCAGCCCCACAGGGCTTTCCGAACGCCCAGCCCTGGTGCTCTGTACCACCGTTTCTGATGTCCTGCCTGCACGACCCACAGCCCGGTCCTGGCACCTTGCTCATTCTCTCTGGACTTGCTGCCTCCCGCAGGGCCACCCCCAGAGCCTCTTCTCATGGGCACACGCTCTGGCAGGGACAGCCAAGGGCTGACGCACAGCCAGCATGCCCTTGCTTCGTGACAGGCCAAAGACCCCACGCGCCTCTGCCGCCGTGGGGCCCTGGGGCGGGGTACTCACTGCTGTTGAGGTCGATCAGGAAAACCCGCTTCAGATGCTTGTGGTAGACCAGGGCAGCGTGGACCCGGGAGCAAGACTGGTGGTCGATGGTGAAGTCACACAGGTCAGGGTTTCTCCCAAATAAGTAGCACTTCTTCTCATCGATGATCAGCTTCTGGGAATGCATCAAACCACACGTCACTTAGACCTCACCTCAACAGGGCGCACCAAGACTCTTCCAATCAAGTAGAGAGAGGAGCTTGAGTAGAGAACATTTCTTGCCAAGGTGAAACAAGTATTTCCCATTATTATTCTCTAACATACAGAACTCAAATAACCTATTAAGATAATACTGGGGGACCAGCAGGTGGCGTGGTGGTTAAAGCTCTGGATTCCTGCATGGTCAGCTGTGGTTCAAGTCCTAGACCTGGCGGCTCGCTCTCTCACTTTCTCTTTCTCTCTGGTGAGAGTACATTCCCTGTACCAAATTAAAACAGTCCTACAGATAATTAAATAATTCTAAAAAACAGATAGGACTTTCAGGGAGTGGGTGGAAATTCATCTCCACAAATACTGTGCTCAACTGTCTAGTGTTGGCATGAAAACAACTGAATGCGTGTTTTGGGCCCGAGGGTCTGTGGGCATGTGAGAGAGGAAGCCCCTGCTGCTGGGCTTGGTCACGCTGCAACCCTTTCTCCACTCCTCCGATCTGTCAGGGTTTGCACCTGGCCGCCAAAGCAAGGTCTAGGACTCGAACTGTGGTCGGCCACGTGGGAACCCAGTGCCCCTGAGCACCATGTCATCGGCCCCAAACTAACACATTTCTTTAGAACTAAGAGTCCTGGGGCTGTCAGGTAGCGTGGTGGTTAGGGTGCTGGACTCTCCACACGGCTGGCCTTGGTGTGAGTCCAGCATCTGGCGGCTTGCTTTCTCACCTTCCTTCTCTCTGGTGAGAGTACATGCCCTAGAGCAAATTAAAAAAATAATAAGAATAAATAAAATTAAATACTAAAAGAGAGACCAGCAGTTAGTGTAATGGCTATGTCGCTGGCCCCCCACGTAGTCGCCCGCCATTCGCGTCCCGGACCCAGTGGCTTAAACTCACGCCGGGCGCGTGTGCGTGCGTGCTCAAGATCCCGAGAGGAGAATGGAGGAGAAGGGATTGCGGTGTGGCCATCCCCCCAGGGGGGAGATTTCTCGCTTTCTATCTCTGTTTCTCTCTCTCTGTCTGGCGAGCGCATGCGCCCTATAGCAAAAACCTCTAAAAAAAAATAATAAAAAAATAAAAGAGTCCTGAGGGCCTGCCCTATTGCCCTATAGCAAATTTTAAAAAATAATAATAAAAAATTAAAATTAACTAATAAAAGCAACAGCTCCTGAGGGCCTGCTCCATAGCCCTAAGGTTAAGGGAGCTGGAGCCCACGTGGCTGCCCACTTGGTTTGAATTCTAGCTTGGGCACTTAAGAAACACACGAGGCACATATGTGTGTGCACCCCAGCCCCACGGAGGAGGGGCTGCAGGACGACCAGGACCCATGGGGTGCTCACTCCCTCTCCCAGTTGGTCTCTGGCAATTTAAAACAAAAACTATACATACATTTATTTTTTGTTTTGCTTATTTTAGTTTTTTTGCTATGGGATGCATATTCTCACTGGAGAGAGAGAGAGAGAGAGAGAGAGAGAGAGCGAGCGCGCTCCCCTCAGGAAGTATGGCCACACTGTGGCCATTCTCCTGACACTGAGGATGCATGCTCATGCACCAGGCATGTTTTTAAGCCGTGAGGCCCAGGGCTCAAATTATGCAGCTGGCCATGTGGGATCCAATCTCCTGAATCTCCACACCATTTGCTCGTCCCCAGCCCCTCAAAAAAATATACGTTAAAAAATCTGCTGAAGAGAGCTCAGCATTTTCGACATCTCCTTCGCCCTATTAGTACCCTCCAGGCTGAAGCTCACTGCCTCTCTCATTCTACACGCGCACAGACTACATTCTTGTGAGCTTCTATCTGCTACGACTACGGCGCCCACAGGCTGGGCTCAAGGAACATATAAACCCCACCAGCTTGTGGGTTCTAATCTAACAATGACCAGATCTCGTGATTCTAGAGTCCCAAAGACATTCCAGAGAACTAGAGATTTTTTTGAGGGGAATAAAGAGAAAGGGTCCCCAAACCGAATCCACTGTTTAGAGCCGATAGGAGCCTGAAATTTAATAGCAAGTATGTCTTAGAAGGAAAGACACACTCATTTTTGGACACTGCATCTCCAGTCCCAGTGAATGAAACAATACGCTGGTGTCTGAACAGTCGCCGAGGCCAGGACACTCGGAGTGAGCCAGCCTCTACCGCTGTGCAGCTGTGCCTCTGAGCTATAACTCAGAGCGTGTCTCCACACACTGGGCTTCGAAGACTCAGGGCTTTCGTGTTTATATTGCACTTCTTTAACCCAGCTGTCACGGCGTATCACAAGCCTCTGACAAGACCAGGATATAGACAGCTCGGTGAGTATCAAGTGCCAAGTTCAAATCCCTAAAATTAGGGCATCCCAGGTTACTCCTCCTACAAGCCACTGTCTAGGGACGGCGACTTGACAACTGTGTGGCAACGCAGCATACCTAAAAGCAATGAAAGACCGAAGGGCCTCAGCTAATTGAAACCAGTAAGCAGAAGGGTGTCTGCGGGCCAGCAGGCAGCACGGAGGTTAAGGAAGCCGGATCCCTTATGGTTGGCTCCATGGTTCAAGTACCGGACCAGGCCATGTGAAAAAGCATGCTGGGCATGTGTGTGTACATGCCCAAAATCGCAAGAGAAAGTAGCGGAGCACGCCAGAGCAGCAGGTAAAGTAATGGTTTGTTGCAGGACCCTCACATGTAGTCAACCGCGGTTCAAAACTAACACCCAGGACCAGTAGATGGCGTAATGGCTACATTGCTGGACTCCCATGTAGTCGACCAGAGTTCCAGTCCTGGACCTGGTGGCTTAAACTCATGCTGGGCGTGTGTGCCCAAGATCTCCAGAGGAAAATGGAAGAAAAGGGACGGCGGCGAGGCCATCCCCCCAGGATGCGTGTGTGTGTGTGTGATTTCTTCCTTTTTGTCTGTCTTTCTAATGAGTGTGTGCACCCTATAGCAAAAACCTCTCTGAAAAAAAAAAAGCCCACAAAAAACAAAAACAAGAACAAAACCTCTCGCCAAGCTTGTGCCTGAGAAGGGATAGTGACACAGTCATACCCTGGGGGTGATTTCTTGTTTCGAAAAGATTTCTCTCAAAGGAACAAAAGAAAAAGAAGAAGGGATTATCATGTGCTATCCTCCCTGGAGGTGATTTCTCACTTTCCTCCTGTCTGTCTGCCTCTGGTCAGTGCATGTGCCCTAAAGCAAAAAAACTTAAAAAAAAAAAAAAAAGTTTGTCAAGTTAGAGTGCTCTGAAAACATAAATTCTCTCTCAAAGGAAGATGACGTTATTACTAAAGCTAGGCCTTCTTATGACTCCTCCTGTTGCAAACCAGAGATTTACTTAATTCCAGTAACAAAACAGATTCCTACACATTTTCTTGCTATTTTGTGACAAATATTTTGTACTTGTGAAGCAATCTACAGTAAAATACGTTTTACAGACAGTTCAGCTAAATGATCTCCCGTGACAGGGGGCTCTGACAGTTGGGGCGAGAGCTAGCACAGAGCCGCTGTTCAGTCATGCACATCTTGACACTTGGCCGCACCCCGCTATCTCCCAACGTCCTGAGTGTGGTGATGATCCACAGACAACACCACCTCCAGAAGATGTTTTTCCAGTTAGTGACCACAGAACTGCATGTCTGTGCATACACCAAAGGAGAACAGCCGACCTGATAGAGGCCTGGCTCAGGCAGGCAGTCCCGGTTCTCTGGCCACAGTGCGCTCCATCCCCATCTTTGGGTAAATAAGTAGTAATGCTATAAGGTTTTTAAAGTATACAACCTAGGGCCGGCAGGTGGCATGGTGATTAGGGCACTGGACACGTACATAGTCGACTGTGGTTCAAATCCTGGACCTAGCAGCTTGCTTCCTCACTCCCTCCCACCCCGTCTCTCTGGTCAAATTAAAAAATAACAAGTAAAATTAAATAAATTCTTAAAAAGACAAAAACGTATACAACCTACTAACTAATTAACACTCTCGTTCTCTCCAAGCTCCACGGCATTCCCTGGACATGTGTAAAAGCCAGGACTCTGCCGGACTCTCCTCCTAGCACTGACCTCAGTTGTAATCATGCCACTTCCGGCCTGATCCCCGCTGCCCCACTGGCTGACTGAGGACGGGAGACATGCGTTTCGCTGCCAGGACCCTAAGCAGACCCCCTTGAGGGCACATGGTAAACACATCACACATCTTTTGAATGAATTTCATCGCAATTCCATTCTCTGTATGGAGCAAGTGTCTTAGTTTACCATACTTCTTTGAAGGTGTGGGGTCTGAATCTTATAAAACCATCTTAAAAGTTGAAGTCAGGGACCAGCAGTTTACGTAATGGCTATGTTCCTGGACTCCCATGTAGTCAATCATGGTTTGAATCCCGGACCCGGTGGCTTAATCTCATGCCAGGAGCGTGTGCGTGTGTGCCCAAGACCCCGAGAGAAGAATGGAGGAGAAGGGATTGCAGCGTGGCCACTCCACCTGAGGAGTGATTTCTCTCTTTCTGTCTCTCTCTCTTTCTGGCGAGCACCCGCGCCCTATAACACCCCCCCCAATAAATAAATAAATGTTGAATTAAACCAGCAGCACTCACTTTCTTCAGCTCCTGCATTCCCACACACTCAGAGAGAGGGGCCTCACCTTACAGAACTTCAGTCCCATGACCCCTTAAAACCCTCCGTTTAGAAGGTCAGAAAGCACGACAAGCTCAGTCCTGGGCAGATGTGAGCTTTCGACGTGTTACATCACCATGTTTAATAGAAAAAGTTCAGGATGAGCGAAAGTGACATCGCTGGAAAACAAAGCCCAGGAGAAGGGTGGAAAGTGAGCCCTGGCAAGCACCCCAGCTCGGTGCGGACAAGCGGGGGCGCGTTCCCATACCTCGATGAGTTTGTCTCCTTTGACTACATCCAGATGCAGACCAGGTGGGGGTTTACCTGCCCTGAAAAAGAAGAGTGAAGTAAGCATTTGGGGATGAGTTCCTAAATGCTATTTACAGTCCCACCCAACATGACAGCTCTCCTACCAGACTATAATTAGTTCGTGCTCAGCAGAAATGCCGACTTCACTGCCGGTACAGCTTCTCTCTGCACTTAGCTCCCCAGTGATTCGGCTGCTCTAAAACATGTTAGTGGGTCCGTATTTAGAGCAGCACCAAAGAAACCTCTATTTTACTGTCAGATATCCCCCTGGAGAGAACGCAGCATACAGAGCAGCACACAGCTGTGGCAGCAGCTACCCGGGATGAACCTGAGATCTGCCATCACCCTAATGCATATTAAGGCGGAATAAGTCAGCTGTTGTTTTGGGCTGGTCAAGATTAGTCTCAACAGAGCAAGAAGGCACTGCCCTGAGTGCTGAGAGGAAACCAGAGGTGTGGAATCAGGAGCCACGACGATCCATGCCCACCAAACCAGGCACCGAGCGGATACAAGAGCGGCGACCCTGGGACAGCTCTCTCTACAGCACGATCGAGGGCATTTGTCCATCCTCCACAGTGACCCCGTTCCAGGGGGACTGTCAAAGCACCTGATGCAGCGCCTGGCATACACTGCACCTTGCAGAATGGTGAGATCTAGACAGGCTCTTCCCACTGCGCCTGCTGTGTCGGTACGTTTTTTAAAATTAAGTTTCCTCTGAGAGACAGGGGAGGCGAGGAGAGAAGCGCCCTCAACTGGGTCTTCACGCCATGCCGCCATCTGCTCCACCTCAGCTCGGCCAGCCTGGACAGTAGGCGCACAGGCCCGCGCTCTGGGGGTGCTACCGCATCACCGTGGGCCCCTGCCTGGCCCCTGGTCCAATTTTTGAGATGGACGCAGCATGGGACCAAAGTAGACGAGGACGTGTAGACGGAGTGACTAGGTGCTCCAGAGTGCAGGGCCGCGCAGAGCACCTGCTCCCAGTCTGGACCTCTGCCCTGTGAAGAAGCACCTCGCCAGAGCCCCAGCGTTTCCAAGAGAAAAATGTATCCTTCTCTAATTGGAAAGCAACATAGTCACCTCTCATCCTGCCCCAGCGCCTTCAGGGCAGAGGCCGAAGGGACTGCGCTCAGACAAAAGCCCATTGTGTCCGGAAAAAGGGAAGGAATGTTACATCCCAAATCCGCTCCCCGCACTCCTAGGAAGCGGCGGCTCGCGCCAGCATGTGCCCTGGGCGGGACGGCAGGGCCGCGCTGCCGGCCGCAGC